TTCATCCAGCTCTACACCTTGTTATCTCGGTCTTGTTTCCTCGTCTGTATCAAGGATCATCTCATTATCAAACTCACGATGACAATGGGAAGATTCAAGAATGGGGAGTACCATGAGATTGTAGGAGGACGATTAAAATAGGGACATCTTATCGAAGTGGAGACATCTGTTTGCAGAAAGATGCTGACGTGTAAGGATACGTGTGAGAACCAGGGCAAGAGCTGTCTGCAGAGCAAAAATGGATGCACTGCCTAGAATTGATGAGTGATGGTCAAAAATGTTATGGGCTTCTCTAGCTTACAGACCTACACCATGTACATCATGGGCAGTTCTGAATATTCTTGATATACCAGAATGGCCTTCTGGCACCTTCCACAAAAAAAACTTCAAGGTTAGAATTAACTTAATCACCATGGACAATGGGTATTTTCCTGTTTCCAATAATATTAGATCATCCTTCACCAGGGCACAGTGCCTATGTGATGATGTTGTAGCTTTAAGAGGTATGCTTGGTCCTGGTTTCTTTTAGAGAGAGAAAGGGGACAGGTGCTGAGCAGCCTATGAGAAGAAGCTTTGGGTGCCTTTTTTTAAAAGCTGGAACAATAGGAGCATCCTGAATGGGTGTGGTCAAGCTCCCACCCACAGAACCAGGATTTTTAGTTTTTGTTTTTCTTAGCAGCGGATGCTGTTAGAGTCTTGAAAAAGTGGAAGCTATTTTTCCCACTCTCGATTACAGCCAGAAGCTGAGGGTTCTCTTCCTACATTGCTGGATTGAATGTGAGACAAATCCATTTTCTGAATTTACCTTTTGCCAAGGGTGTGTTTATGGGATGTTACTATGTTGGAAGAGTTAATTAGTAATATTTACTGTATCTATTATTCTGTTAAGTTTTCCAACAGAGTTAAGTTATTCATGTTCTTCTTTCTTTTATTATATCTTAACTATAAAGTTTGAATAAATTGTATTTTGCTTAACATTGAGTAGTTTGACCAATCAAATTGCATCTGGAACACAGCACCTGATATTTGCCTTTAAAATAAGAAAATGTTAGGGTCTAGGCTACCTTCTTAATATATTTTGAGGGGATCTGGTTTTTTGTAGCATCTGCAGGCTTCGGACAGAATGCTGGCCTGATAACTTAGTGAAGCTAACCTTTGACCCATCAATCCTATGCACAGGACAATGTCTTCTTCTGGGTGAAACCCTTCAGCCATTCCCTCTGCTCCATCCAGACATCATTCCGTGTATTGAATCCGTCAGCTAATGGAATGGAGAACTTGCCCTGTTGCTGTGGATGCTGTGCCAGGCAACTTCACAGTTTCTGCTCTGTAGTCCTCCCTACCTCAGATTATTCACAACACATGAGACAAATGGACACACCTTTAAAGACTCATAATGTCCTTTATCTCTCCATCTGACGTCTATATTGCTACAGTTAGTTTCTCTTGATGTAAACTGTCCACAGTACTTTTTTCTAAGAATTTACCACATTAGTACTAACTTTACACGATGACTGGGAAATTTATTTCTACTCCTCATCTTTATAATGATGGCTAATGTTATGTCAATGGCTTTCCACTATGCACTCACCTCTCTTGTAAAATGTGCAACCCATTGTTGAGAAAAGGCACCTGTAAAATGGCTCTTTATTGGCTTTTTGATGACTTTTCTGGATTGCATGTTTCATCCACATGAGCTCCCAAAGAACTAATTGTCAACGCCAGTGGAAAAATGTTGAGTTACTGACCCGCCATCCATTTCGCAATTTTGCCAGTCCACCCAAGCTGTGCCCCTAAATGCCCAGCAAAACTCCATCCCAAATCTTCTGAAGAACTGCAGATGTGCTTAGAATTAACTGTATATTTTTCATCTGATTGTTTTGAGATGTCTAGAACATATAAAAATATAGTGTTGAAAAACAGGGTGTGGCAAAACTTATCTGCACACAACTATTGCTTTGAGGAAATGCAAGTGTTTAAAAATCACCTCACCTCGCTATTAAAGTGAAATGCCAGTTTACAAAACGTTGTAAAATTAAATATCTTTTATGGTCATGTTTAATTTACAACTATGGGCAAGAATTTCCCCTGTGTGTGTAGCTATGGTAAATACAGTGAAGGCATTTTCACATTCGAGTTATGAAGAAGGGTCTTCACAGTCACATTTTCACTTGCTGAATCCTGGACTGAACAAGGGAGGAGCTTTGTCATGTCTTCCTACTTACAGGGATGCAGATAATAAGTGAAAAAAGGACCTATAATCTGGACAATGGAAACTATCTGAAATGAATAGCTGACCATCACCAAGAGTGTAAAAGAAGATCTAGTTTAATTACTAGGGCAGGATGGTGTTGTGTACTTCTGCTTAACTTACAAGGAGGGACATAAGCTAAGTTTGAAGAGTAAGATTTGCTTTTAATGCTAATTCATACATTTAAATGGTGACTGTACAATATCAGCATCATACAAACATATATTCAGCCTAATTTTACTAAAACGTTAATCAACCTCTGATCTGAAAGATAACGGAAGTGCGCAGGATGGCAGTGAAAACGTCTAGTGTCCCATTCAGAGAATAAAGTAGATGCATTGTTAAATCCCCTAAACTTTAAGCATAATTAGGTGTGGGTTAGTAAAAGTTGTGGATCTGTTTAAAGGAGAGGCCAGTGCCACTGACTCCAATAGAATATTTACAGCAGGCCAGAAACTTGTAACTGAGGCAAATCACATTAAAGTACATCAATTCCTTGTGTACACAAACATTTCAATAAAATATATTTATTCTGCAGGTTTTAACTGTGCTAAACAAAAATAATACTATTTAGCATTTGTTCAGGAAGACAATGCCCATTAATTCCAAAGCAATTGAGCAGAATAGTGATACAGAATGTACAGTGTAGAAACAGGCCATTAGGCCCAACTGGTCTGTACTGACAGACATGTTCCACAGATGCTCCCCCAGCCTCATTCACATAAATCCACCCTCATACCTTTTTATACCCTTATATGTTTACCAAGTAACTTTATTTTATTCCATCATATGTTGCTCACATCACTGGCCAGCATTTATTGCACAACCCTAACTGCCCTTGAGAAGGTGATAATTAGCTGCCTTCTTGAATCACCGCAGTCTATGTGCTATAGGTAGAACCACACATTAAGGATTGAATTCCAGGGTTTTGACCTAAAAACACTGAAGCAATAGCAGGATAATTTGTGATAAGGAGGGATCTTGTAAGAGATGCTGTTCCCAAGTATCTGCTGTCCTTGTCATTTGATATATAAGTGGTTGTGGGTTTGGAAGATGCTGTCTGAGGAACCTTGATGATTTTGTGCAGTACAGTACACACTGCTACTACAGAACATCTGTGATAGAGGGACGGAAAGTTTGTGCATATGGTGCCAATCAAGTGGATTGTGTCAAGCTTCTTGAGTGCTATTGGAGCTGTACTCATCCAGGCAAAAGGGGAGTATTCCGTCACTTTCCTGACTTCTGTCTTGCAGGAAGTAGAGAGTAACAATGAATGCACCCTTTTCAGGCTGGCAGGATGTTATGAGCACTATGTCACAGTGGGTCAGGGCTGGGGCATCAACTCTTTACAAATTAAAATATTTGGATGAAGGGATTGATAGTATATCAGCTAAATATGCTGATGACACAAAGATAGGTAGGAAAGTGGGTTGTGAAGAGGACGTAAAAATCCTACAAAGCAATGTAGTGAGTAGGCAAAGAGCTGGAAAATGGGACAGAATGTGGAAAAATATGAAATTGCCAATATTGGTAGAAAGAATAAAAAATATTCTCTACATGGTGAGAGATTGGAGGGGTCTGAGATAAAGAGAAATCTGGATGCTTTGGTGCCTGAGTCACAGACTCAGGAATGTTTATAGAATAGTTTATTGTGAGGGGAATGAATTGAATGCAACAGTAGGGAAACTATGCTTCAGTTATACAGGACATTGATGAGATTGCATATGAAGTGCTGTGTACTCATCACCATACTTACAGAAGGACATTGCTGTATTTGGAGCAGTTCAGAGAAAGTTTGCTAGACTAATACTGCAATGAGCTGATTCCCTTATGAAGAAAAGATAGATAGGCTAGGCCTGTATCTTCTGGAGTGTGGAAAAGTCAGAAGTGACTTAACCGAATCAGATAAGATCCTGAGGGAACATGTCTGGGTGGATATGGAAAGGGTGTTTCCTCTTGTGTGAGAATAAAAATCAAGAGTCATAGTTTAAAAATAAGAGGTCATCGAATCAACACAGAGATGAGAAAAAACGTTCTCTCAGTGGGTTGTGCATCTCTGGAATTCCCTTCCTCAAAAGACAGTGGATGCAGAATCTTTAAATGCTTTTAAGGCAGAGGTAAATTGATACTTGATATCAAGAGGATGAAAGGTTATCAAGGATTAGCAGGAATGTAGAGTTGAGGTTAAAATCAGATCAGCCATGATTTTCTTGAATGTGAAGCAGGTTTGAAGGGCCAAATGGTCAACTGTTGTTCCTTGTTTGTTTGTAACACTGTAGCATAAAGATTTAAAGATGTAATACTACAGCAGAAATTGCTGGAGAAAAGGACTCTTCTTGAAAAGGTTCGCAAGACTCAAAACATTAACCCTGCTTTCTTTCCACTGTTGACACTAGATCACAGTCTGTTTTTGTTTCAGTTTTCCAGCACCTGCAGTTCTTTATTTAAAAAGTAAACCTAGGTATTATTCCATGTTAGAAAATATTAAAATGAAGTAATTATCAAATATTCGAATATTTTTAGCTTGGACTGTGATGAATACTATTCTGCAAAAGTGAACTCAATTTAATTATATACGTTTATTCTTCCTGTTAAGAAAGTCTTAAAATTTATGAATACAGTTAGGAAGATCTTAAATCAATTTGCATACTAATGATTATTGAACTGTTGTACAAATAAATTATTGTTATAAATCATCTGTAGAAATTGCAATGCCATCACAGTAACAAAAAGCCCAACTATGGCTTTACAATATTTAAGGAGATAATGTTCCTATTTTTAGGAATGATTTTCTTTATAAATCATTCCATTTTAAAAACAACTATTTCCCAAAAGCAATTTTGTCAGTCAGAATCAATGACTTTGTGGTGGGAGAGGCACAGGTCCTCTGTTTGCTCTTAATTCTTTATGTTCTGTTCTTGGCAATCTATCTCCCTCCAGTGTCCTTTCTCCTCTCTGTCTCCTCTCTTCTCTATGTGCTTTCTCTCCTTTCTCTCCTCGTTGTTCTCTCTGTGCTCTATGCGCTCTCTGTGCTCTATGCGCTCTCTCTGCCCTCTGTGACTCATCTGCTCTCTGTGCCCTCTCAGCCCTCTCTTCCCTCTCTGCTTTCTGTGCCCTCTCAGCCCTTGCAGCTTTCTGTGCTCTCTCTCCTCCGTCCATTCGCTCCCTTCTCTCCCTGGGTTTTCGGGGTTCTGGCCTTGGTCGTGGTGAGCTGTATTCTTCGTTGTGTTGTCCAGGGTTTGGGATTGATTGCCTTGGCTGTTTCATCTGTACTCTAAATTCCATGGGGACTTCCAGCGAGGTATCCACTACTGGACAGAAACAAGAAAACAATGTTACAAATTATACACACAAGGAAAATCAAAAAAAATATGATACACGGAAAAATCCATTCACCAAACTGTCTTCAGGTCAGCAAAAGTCTTTTTTTGTTGAATTTACCATCAGAACAATGTATGGTTACCACACCCTTACCTTCCAACACCTTTGTTTTAAGTATTTAATCGTTATTTTGGAGAAAAGCAAATTTTTGTTCTGCATTCACAGAAAAGTAGTTAACCTCTCACTCTAAAGTTACAGGCAAAATTTAGAACTGTTTCAACAGCTTTAAATGTTCACTCCAACCCTAACCTCACTATAATAGCCCTGGACAAGGGAGGCACAGTTGTGGTATGGCGCACTGACCTCTACATCGCCGAGGCCAGAAGCCAGCTCTCTGACACCTCCTTCTACCGCCCCCTTGATCATGGCCCCACCCACAACCACCAAAACATCAACTCCCAAACCATTCACAACGTCATCACCTCAGGTGACCTCCCGCCCACAGCTTCCAACCTCATCATTCCCCAAACCCGCACTGCCCGTTTTTATCTCCTTCCCAAAATCCATAAACCCGACTGCCCTGGTCGACCCATCATCTCCGCCTGCTCCTGCCCCACTGAACTTATCTCCACATATCTCGACTCCATTTTCTCCCCCCGGTCCAGGAACTCCCCACCTCCATCCGTGACACCACCCACGCCTTCCACCTCCTCCAAAACTTCCAATTCCCTGGCCCTCAACACCTCATCTTCACCATGGACATCCAGTCCCTATATACTTGCATTCCCCATGCAGATGGCCTAAAGGCCCTCCGCTTCTTCCTCTCCCACAGGCCCGACCAGTCCCCCTCCACCGACACCCTTATCTGTCTAACCAAACTCGTCCTCACCTTTAACAACTTTTCCTTCAACTCCTCCCACTTCCTACTGACAAAAGAGGGTGCCATGGGTACCCGCATGGGCCCAAGCTATGCCTGCCTCTTTGTAGGTTATGTGGAACAATCCCTCTTCTGCAGCTACACTGGCACCATCCCCCATCTCTTCCTCCGTTACATCAATGACTGTATTGGCGCCGCCTCGTGCTCCCACGAGGAGCTTGAACAGTTCATCAACTTTACTAACACCTTCCACCCCAACCTTAAGTTCACCTGGACCATCTCTGATACCTCTCTCTCCTATCTGGACCTCTCTGTCTCCATCTCTGGTAATCACCTGGAAACTGATATCTATTTCAAGCCCATCGACTCCCACAGCTACCTAGAATACACCTCCTCCCACCCACCTTCCTGTAAGAATGCTATCCCCTATTCCCAATTCCTTCGCATCCGCCGCATCTGCTCCCAAGGTGAGGAGTTCCACTCCTGGACATCCCAGATGTCCTTGTTTTTCAAGGACCACAATTTCCCCTCCACAGTAGTCGAAAACGCCCTCAACCGCATCTCTTGCGTTTCCTGTACCTCAGTCCTCACACCCCCTCCCCGCAATAACAGCAAAGACAGAGTTCCCCTTGTCCTCACGTATCACCCCATCAACATACGGATCTACCTTCCGGAGGGACTGCTCTCTCCACGACTCCCCCGTCCCCTCCATATTCCCCACTTGCCCTACTACCCCTGGCACTTTTCCCTGCAACCGAAGGAGGTGCTACACCTGCCCCTACACCACCCCCCTCACCCCCATCCCAGGCCCCAAGAAAACCTTCCACATTAAACAGATGTTCACCTGCACATCCGCTCATGTGGTATATTGTATCCGCTGTTCCCGACGTGGCCTCCTCTACATCGGGAAAACCAAGTGGAGGCTTGGAGACCACTTTGTAGAGCACCTATGCTCGGTTCATGACAAACAACAACACCTCCCAGTCGCGAACCACTTCAACTCCCTCCCACTCCTTGGATGACATGTCCATCCTGGGCCTCCTCCAGAGCCACAACGATGCCACCCGAAGGCTGGAGGAACAGAACCTCATATTCCGCCTGGGAACCCTGCAGCCCAATGGTCTCAATGTGAGCTTTACAAGCTTCAAAATCTCCCCACCCCTGACCTCATCCCAAGACCAGCCCCTCTCGCCCCCGCCTCCTTGAACTGTCCTTCTTTTCTCCCACCTATCCGCTCCTCCCACCTCACTGACCAACCCCCACCCCAACTTTCTACCTATTGGCCTCATCCCTGTCTCCTTGACTTGTCTGTCTTCCCTCCCACCTACCCGCCCCTCCATCCTCACTGACCAACCCCCACTCCAACTCCCTACCTACACTCGCCTTTACTGGCTTCATCCCCACCTCCTTGACCTGTCCGTCTTCTCTCCACCTATCAGCTCCACTATCCACCATCTATCATCGCCTCCCCCTCTCCTTATTTAGTTGAGAGCACCCTTCCCCTCCCCCATTTCTGAAGAAGGATCCAGTCCCAAAACGTCAGCTTTCCTGCTCCTCTGATGCTGCCTGGCCTGCTGTGTTCCTCCAGCTCTACACCTTGTTATCTCAGATTCTCCAGCATCGGCAGTTCCTACTATCTTTAAATGTTGAGGTGTTGGAAAGACAACATTCACTAAAATGAGCACAGAAGTAGATTATCAAGAGCCAAAGTAATGTGAATTGAGTTGGAATGAAGTAATTGATTTGATTCAAACTTGGAAAGGTGTGGTTTTATAAAAAAACTGTTGACACATGTGCAGAGAGAATCAAAGGGTGCCCCTCAACAGAAACAAGCAGCCAGTTCCTTCGCAGCATTGTTTGTTTGTTATTCTCTCAATGAATATAAAATATTCAGCTGTCTGTCTGTGGCTTTAACCAAATCACCTAAAGTAGGGCAGTTTGGCTTTTTGTACATCTACCTATAACCACCCCCCACCCCCCACCCCCCACCCCCCAACAGACATCTCCTCTTGCCTTCTCTACTTTGCTGAACCACATTTTTCTTGGGGGATGTCTCCTTCACACCACTCAGGTCTCTGGCACTTTGCACAGGCAAAGAATAAGATTTAGGATTGGACCTTATGCACTACTGAGGCTGTTTCACCATTCAATAACATCATAACTGATCTACTTTTCTGCCTTTACTCCATATCCCTTGATTCCCTGAAGTACTAAAGATTTACATATTTACTATAGTTCTCATGCCTTCACAGTTCAATATTCCCATTAATCTCTATGTATGCATTGCACACATAATCCCTAAATTGTGCTGGTCTCTTCCTGGTCGTCTGCAAGTTGTTGTTGTTGGCTGTTCATCCTGGTGATGGTGTTTTGCCAGAGACGACGTTTCTATGTCATTTGTTGTTGTTGTCTTGTCATTGTTGCTCAAATTCTGTTGTGTTGCTGTGAACCTCGGGGTCTATTGGCTGATTTGCATCGTGTGTAAATACTGCATTCATTTCTTCTTGATCTGCCCCCTGCAGTTGGGGAACAGCTTCTGCAGTTGGGAGGCTGTAACTGCAATAGCGATGTTACATCTAGTCATTCACCTCCATTGCATACCATTGAGGTGAGAACTGCTCAATGCAGGTCCCACAGTGTCATTTGGACTGGCTATTATTGTTAATGTTGAGCATGTTGAATATTTGTATCCTGACTGGCTCTCTAATACTCTGTTTTGGCAATGTTTTAAGTCAGAAGTCACATGACACCAGATTATAGTCCAACAGGATTATTTGGAATCACGCAAGCTTTCAGAGCGCAGTGCACCTGATGAAGGGGCTGTGCTCCAAAGGCTTGTGTGATTCCAAGTAAACTTGTTGCACTATAACCTGGTGTTGTGTGACTTCTGACTTTGTCCACCCCAGACCAACACCTGCACCTCCAATTCTTATGGTTTGAGAGGCTTGTTGAATTGAAATTTGGCTTTCTGCAGTTTCAGCTTGATTTTTCCCACTCACCTATTACTTCAGTAACTTATTTTGCTATTGAAAGAGTAATGTGTGCACATTGTGGCATCAGTCTTTGTGCTTTTAATATCTTCAGACTGTGAGTTTCTCCATTTGGGATTGTCTTGCATCTTTGTGGGATTTACTTGATTTATTCATGATAGTTTTAGTAATTTTTACTGACATCTCAGCCTTTCCAATAGACTAGGGATAGTGTGGAGAAACTGTGTTGAATTTCTCAATCAACATAGAATTGATGCTGGTCTAACTAAGAGTGCACCAAGTGATATTGAAGATCAGGATGAGGACATTCATCATGAAGACAAACTACTAAAAATTGACACTAGGCTGGCATTTTTACCTGAGGGAACTAGAACAAAGTCACCATAGTAGGATGGGCAGGAAATGCTTCAGGGAAGTACAAAAACTGACTAGATGTGTAAAACAAGGAACAGAGTATCAGATCTATGATTTGAAAGAAGAAAGTTAAAATAACTCCACAGAGGCCGATATCCCATCACCAAGTCACCCTTTGTGACATGCGGAGAGTTGTTGATACTGATCCAGCTCCCACAGAGCCAGGTCTCAAAGTGAACAGAACCTCTGACAAAGTGGTGTGTTGTAGCCTCCTATGTCAGTCCTCAGGGAGGACATGGTCCTCCTCTGCATCACTCCATGTACAAGGACCTCCAGGTGCCTATTTGTAAAGTGGGGTTCCAAATTCTCCAGTTCCACTATGTCGGGAGCAAATGTCACAAACTGTGCAGGGCAACTCCAGACTGACAGAGATAGCAAGAACTGCAGATGCTGGAGTCAGAGATAACAAAGTGTGGAGCTGGAGGAACACAGCAGGCCAGATATGAAATGTCAGCTTTCCTGTTCCTCTGATGCTGCCTGGCCTGCTGTGTTCCCCCAGCTCCACACTTTGTTATTCCAGACAGACAGTCCTTGTTGGGTGCACAATGGTCTTTTAAATATTTTTCCAACAACAGAGATGCCAGACCATTACAGCAAGTTCAGGCAGTGGCAAGCTCTTTCAGCTATGGCAAGTAAGAGAATCAGGTTAACATTGGCAAGGGGCGAAATAGGGCTGGGCTCAGTGAGCTTGGGACAGTAGCGCAAG